CTTTACTTTTGATACTCCTCCTCGATCAACAAAGGAACAAGTTTCACAAAAATCGTAACAACCATCACAATCCTTTTTATGTTCTTTAAAGATTTTACCAGTTGTACATGAGGTACATTCGACAAGAGTTGCACCACTATATTTGCAAGTTGGACATGCATCAGGACATTTTCTACATTGCTTAGCAGCTGTATCCAAATTATAGTTCGATGCACAATCAGAACATTCCGTGGTGGTGAAGGTTTTGTCAACGGAACAAGTTTTACAATTATTTTCACATTCTGTGCATGTTGTTTTATCATCAGATATTAAATATCCATCGTTGCATGTATCACATTTGGAACTATCTGATGGACAGGTTGCGCAGTTGGCCACTTGGCATGTTTGACAAGTAGTTTTTGCAGTATCAGGGAATTTAGTAGGATCTGTACATTCTTCACACTGGGCTTTATTGGCATCACACTTTTTGCAACCACCAACGGTACATTCCTCACATGTTTTAGTGGCGGATACAAATCTATATCCATCAGCACAACCAGTTGATTTACATGCTGCCTTGTCGTTTAGTTCGCAATCATCGCAATTAGTAGCTGTACAAGCTACGCATACACTTGCTGCACCCGCATCAATAGCTTTTCCTTTGACGCAATCTGTGCATACGTCTGGTGTACCAAAGTCACAGAGTTTACAATTGCTGCCAACAGTACATGGTACACAAGTTTGATCAAGAGCTTTATATCCATGTCCTGTAGGACAACCAGTTGGCTTACACTTTGCCTTGTCATTTGGTTCGCAGTCGTCGCAAGGGGCTGTGCAAGCTGCGCATACACTTGCTGCACCCGCATCAATAGCTTTTCCTTTGTCGCAATCTGTGCATACGGCTGGTGTACCAAAGTCACAGAGTTTACAATTGCTGCCAACAGTACATGGTACACAAGTTTGATCAAGAGCTTTATATCCATGTCCTGTAGGACAACCAGTTGGCTTACACTTTGCCTTGTCATTTGGTTCGCAGTCGTCGCAAGGGGCTGTGCAAACTGAGCATACGCTTGATGCACCCGCATCAATGGCTCTTCCTTTAGCGCAAGATGTGCATACGGCTGGTGTTGCTTTATCACAGGTTGCACAGTTACTGCCTACTGTACATTGATAACAGGTCGCATCAGCCGAATTAAACAGATATCCGGAAGAACATCCAGTTGATGTACATTTTGTCTTGTCAGTTGGTTCACAAACATCACAATTTGTTGCTACGCAGGGTTCACAAGTACCCAAGTCTGTTACTGTATATGTAGCTGCACACACACTACATTGATTAGGATCCTTTTCTTTATAAAGACACTTTGTGCAAGGTGAAGGACAGCTTACACATTTGTTCTTCCTAGTATTTACAACATAGTTGTCATTACATACACTGCACGTTCCATCAGAATTACAAGTGGCGCAATTAGCAGGACATTTGTTACATTTGAGACCATCGCTTTGAACTTCGTATCCCGTATTGCATTTCGTACATTTTCCAAGTCCTGATAGATCAGTCTTCAAACTGCATTCAATACAGTTGCTATCAATACCACTACATGCTAAACATTCAGAGTTATCTTTATTCAAGATATATTTGTCGTCGCATTTCAAGCAACCATTTGCCCAAATTCCATCTCCAGCTTCATTCGGAACACACTTGATACAATTTGAAATAGTATCGGCACAAGCTTTACACGTTTGTAAATCGTGTTCCAAAGTTCTGCCACTTGAACATTTCTCTTCATAGCATTTTCCATTTCCATCACATTTGTCACAATTTCCGGTACAAGCGGTACAACTATCACCATTTTTACCATATTTATTCATGCAGACGATACATTTTGGACTGCCATCAACAATTTTACAATGAGCACAACCTTCTCCGCAGGCTGTAAAACAATATATTTCAATTAGGGTTTTCCTTGTTTTTTCTCTTTATTTGCTTTACAAATTGAAAATATGAAGACAAAGAAGACTTACATGAACATTGTCCACTTTCATCAACAAAACCATAGTTAACTTCGCATTCGGAAGCAAAGCATCGAGAGACGCCACTGACATCTTTACACAGTTTGCAGTTTGATGGACAACCTTTAGTTGAAAAATAACAATAATGAGAATATGTCGAATAGAAGGCATTTGAAGCTTTTATATATTGACTAATTAATTGTTATCGCTTCATATTTATCATTTTATCGGAGATATATTTGCATGAAAATTGAACTAACCTAAACAAGTTTTATCAGAATCTTTGATGACGTATTTAGCCTCGCAGTTCGTACATTCGGCTCTGTTGTTCTTCCATTGACACGAGTTACAGTTGGATGGACATGCTTGACATTTTCCGTCACTGTCTTTTATATACTTGGCTTTACACAGCGTACACAATGTCGATTTACCAGATAGAACGCAAGTGAGACAGTTGGATGGACATTGTGTGCATGTTGTTGAGTCGGCAGAAAGTTGATAATACGATTGGCATTCAGTGCATGTTGTTCCATCTGGATTGTTGGAATCTTCCGTACATTTATTACAGAATTCTTTGCAGGCCATACAAGTTTTGTCAGCAGATCTAACAGTATAACCAACAACACATTCCGAACATTTGGCAACCCCATTATCATTAGTGCATGTAGCGCAATTGGAAGGGCAGGATAAACATGTTCCATCACTATTTTCTACATAACGATCTCTACATTTCGAGCAAAACGTTTTCTTCGTATCTGATTTGAAAGTACATTCGAGACAAGCCGAAGGACACGAATCGCATTTCTTTGTTTCGGTGTTAAGAGCAGTTCCTTTATCACAAGACGAACAAACGAGATTATCGTTAGAATCGGCACTACAAACAGCACAATTGGAACTGCATGAAGAGCATGATTTATCAGACTTGAGACCGTATCTTTTGAAGCACTGTGAACAGACTGTAGCTGCACCACTGACTGAACAAGTTTGGCAGAAACTGGGACATTCTGAAAATGAAAAAATTTTATAATATGAAGAACAGAAGAAGAATACAAATGTGAAGAAAAACATACTCATGCATTTTTTGTCATCTGTCAAAGGAGCACTAAAATCGTAGCAGTCGTAACATACTGGTTTACTATTTGTAACGTTACAAAATCTGCACGTACTGTCATCCGAGCAAGCTGTATTGACAAAAAATTGGTATATAAGCTTCAATAAATATTAAACGGCGAAGAAGAAAGATAGATAGATAGATTGATAATACAAATAATCATTTACCAATGCATTTTTGTGTTGCGGGATCTACACCATAACCATGTACGCATTGAAGGCATTTTGTGTTGTCACCAGTTCCAGTTAATTCGCATTTCATACATTTGTCTGAGCAGTCTGATATTTAAATAAGCAGTTAATGAAAATAATGATGATGAAGGAGATAATGATAAAACTCTTTTTTTTTATTGATTTGAATAATGAAAACTTACCGATACACTTTTTCTGATCAGTGGATATAACTTGATTTGTGGCGCACTTCGCACATCTCAGGTCTCTTTTTGCACAAGATTCACAATTTGATACACCGTCACAGCCAGAGGTAGTTGCCGATTGCACGTATGCAACGGCAAGCAGGAAACCTGCTAATGCTAGAAATACTTTCATGTTTTCGTTTTCTTCAACTTCTTATAAGTTTCTCTTCAAATGTGTATATTGTAAATAGGAAACTTTAATGTGAATCTCTTCGTTCGAGTTGCTTGAAAGTGTAATGGATTGTTGCCTTTATATATACATAGCTTTTCAGTTTAGTTTTAGCAACCGCTAAGGAAAATATTTATGAAGTAATATGTAAAAATATTCAAATCAGTTAATATTAAGGGTGAAAGACAGTGTAACCCATTTTTCTGTTTTTTAAGCAATACAACCAATGGCAACTTTCAAAGTCTAAGAATATTATTTATATTATGCTAGGCAACTATTTATTAACATATCAGCGTTTCGTGTTTCAACTTGAAAAGAAGAATAGAAGAGATTTTCTCTATTGAACATTTAATACCAAAATAGACTTTTTTTTGGGTTTAATAGGCTATTTTTTCATTTATTCTTTAATTCATTCATTCATTCATTCATTCATTCATGCATTCATTGGGTTCATTATATGAAATTCAACCTTGTGAAAGTACTATTCGTTTCCGAAGGTAAAACATACTTCAACGAAGAGTCGAGGAAACTTTCTATCTGAAACTTTTTGAAGAGCTTCCTTTGAAGAAACTTTGTCAAGTAAACTACTTGTTTGAATAGATGAGAACAAAATATTTATTAATTAGTCAAAAAGTAGGATAATAATAATAATCATTTATTTGATTTAATTGAGTCAAATTACTATTCATTAAATGTTTAAAGTATTAAATATTAAGAAATTAATTTATTCATCTTTAAAGAAAATAGCAAAGACTACGATTTTTGCTTTTAATTTATGCGGAAGTCTAAATTAAAGATTTTGGCTTGTTCTATTTCTTTATTATTCATTAATCTTTTTTTCTTCTTCTTCTTCTTCTCTCTCTCTCTCTCTTTCTATTCTTACAATTAATAGGTTTTGAGAAATTTCGAAGGGTTTAGTAAAAATTAATCATAAATGATCGATTCGAAATAATCCTTAATACAAACAGAAGAAGTTGCATTTGTAAAGAAAGGCTTGGCAACAAAAGGCTTTTGTTAATACAATATTTAGAAATGGCTTCTTCTTTTCTTAAACCAAGGATTAGTTGGACATTAGCCTTATAGAGTTGAAATTGTATTTTTGGACATTTTCTTAATACTAGTTCATAATGAATTGTAAATGATGCTCTAAATAGTTTGAATTATCTGAACGATAGAATGAAATAAATATAATGTTTCATTACAATTAAAAATGATAGTTTTAAATATAAAGTCTATATTCAATTCAACACAAGAGTCATAAAGTAGTTTACAATTGAATAATAACGGTCTTTTTACTTTGATTTTTAAGTTTTTCACGTTTGAACAAGTTCTATTACTTCTTCTTGTTCTTTTTCTTGATCTTCTATTAATATAGATTTCGTTGGGCTGTAGCAATAATCCCTTCTGTATTTGTGACCTCCACAGCCATGACAATAAACAAACAGTTTTGCTAGAATATTCTTCCAGCTAAGGGTGAGCAATATCGAAAATAAACATAGCATTACTAAAGCACTAATACAACCCATTGCAACAGATATAAAGATCATTAGCGAAAATCTTCTCAAGGCGTGAATATCTGTACAATACGATATAAGGCTTGTGCCAATAGACGTTAAGGCTGCAAGACAAACAGCCATACCGATCCTATCCACAGTAGCCTGAACTCTGTAGAAAGGTTGATCGGTTAAATTCGATGTATCGAGTTTAGCTTGTAGAACTGAAATATGCAATATAAAGTCAACACTTAAACCGGCTCCCAAAGCCAGACAGACTGTATCGCTAACGCCTATCTTCCAGTTCATTAGGGCCAGAACAGATATAGTAATTAGAACGGAAGAAGCCAAACTTGTAATAGATATAACAGAAATACATAGTTTTCTGGTAGATAAGATTAATACTATCGCTGTACCTGAAAGGGCAATTGCCAAAGACGAGCCCACACCTGTTAAGAGTGTTCTCTGAAGGTCGAACAATTCGAACTTTGACCAAAAAAAACCGTATCTTAACTTTCCTTTTTTGGAATTTTTAACCCAAAACGCTTGCACCTTACGATAGAATTGCGCAATTTCGTTATAAGCAGGTGTAAAGTCTTGATTCGTGATGAAACTATAAGAAAATATCGACGATGAGTAATTATCTCCATGAGCAAAATTTCCTAATTGATGTCCTAATAGTTTGTTTTCTATTAAAAAATTTAATTGTCTTTCATAGCAATTCTCAAAGAATTTATAGCCATTCAATAATTTCCAGTTACAACAATCTGGAGAAAAGGTTAAAGGTAATCTTGAACATTCTCTCGAACCATATTTGAGTAGTGTATCGATTAAACAAGGATAATTTGTAATATTAAATTCTTTTCTTAAACTGTAACAGAATAATTGTAAATCTCTAACAGTTTCAGGATTAAACACGTCAATTCTCTTATCAACTTTTCCAGAGATCTTATCAAGAGGTTTCAGGAAAGGATAGCTCTTTACATCCTCAACAATTCCCCAAACGAAAGCGAGAGGCATTTTATACGTATCTACTTTGCCACGAAGATCTTGATATTTTTCGAGAAGATTATTTTCAGAGAATAAAAGTTGTCTCTTCCTATCCGATAGTTTTAATGGTCTACCCCATAATAGAATATAGCATGACCCAATTCCACACATCAAATACAGTCCTATCCATATATACCTGAACTTGAAGATTAACTTAGAGACAAGTTGCGCAATCTTCTCAGATAACTTGACAAGTTCTACCTTTAATTTATAACGACAAATAGCCTTAATACTGTCGGGAGTTAGTCTATATTTAATGGGTTTAATGTATATTTGATGGATGCAAAGAGTCATAGGTGTCCATGTCAAAGCGAGTAAAAGGTTGAATAAGAGTCCAAAAGTTGTCATTGTTCCAAACGCGTGAATAGCCGGAATTTTTGTTGTTAGTGTAGAACCAGTGAAGGGAAGAGATTAAGAGAGAGAAAAAGGAAATTTATCATTATATTTAATTGGTAGGTCTCTTCCATTCACTAATAAATACCTAAAATGGCTATACAAGTTGAAAATGTTGAAGTTTGCAAAGATACTATTGAAAAGCGTAAGGCATCTCTAATAGCTAATTGTAAATTTAAGTCTGGTTCTGTTCTCTTCCATGCTGCTAGTATAATGAAGACATCATCAACTCCAACTGCTAGGTGAATAACTATAGATACCAGATTAACAAATGGGAAAAATCTTATCGAAAAGACAATGCTATAGGTGAATATAGAGAAAATGATGCTCATTAATAGTAAGAGACCAGTTGATAAGGTAATTGTTATCGATTTACTATTAAAGTATACTAGTAAAGATATGAAAATTCCACCCAGTATAGTTATCCTGGTGATAGTTTCGTTTAATCTAACGAAGAATAGATGACGATAAGTGTCAAGGCTATATTCGGTATCAAGTCTTACTCCAGCTATCGCTATATCTTTCGTATTAATAGAATGAAATATAGAAAAATGATCTATGTACCAATTTGTTGTCTCTTCCATTGTAAAAGTTGGTTGTTTACTTGAAAATATATAAGTATATGTAGAATTATGAAGAACGAATTTGTAAGATTCCTCAACATTTTGAAATAATTGATTAGATTGAATATTCTTTAATTGTTCTTTATCTAAATTACAACAAGATTGATTGAGAAATGATGAAACTATTACGGATATCGATGTGTAATCTTTCTTAAATAATCTCTTCCCAAATTTCTCTATTGAACATAATATCTCCCTATCTTCTAAAGATTTCCTCTTTAATTCCAATAGAATAAATGGTCTTGAATTATGAGGATTAACTAACAACGCAATAGCGGGGCAAAAAAAGAATAAAGACATTATTCATAGTAGTTAAGTAGTTAAGTACATGTATATACTTACAGTCTGATAATCCACTTCTCGGTATACGTCGTTTAAAAATATTATATTTCACTCTAATATCATTCATTAATAGTCTAAACTTGGATAATTCTGTTCCTTGGGCGATAAATCCCTAGTTAAATTATTTAGATATGTGTTTTTATATATGCAATAGTTGTTATGTAATAGTTAATTAACAGTCTCACATCTTCCGGTGGCGATACTTTAGGGAAATTGTACAGAATTATGAATAGAAAGAGTAAACTAAGAGAAAATATAATGCCGCAAAATTTTGTACTATTATTACAAATGAAACTGGAATAACTGTAATAATACTATTATTATATTCAATATATGATTAAAAAAAGAGGAAGAGTACCTGTTCAAGATATACATTCCAAATCTATACAATTCTTTATTAACCTAAAAGAATGAAGGAGAAACGTATGAATGTTCAAGTTTATTGGCTTTTCTGTATTTTATATTATAAATATTGTTATTTTTCTTATAAAACTAATTGGTAATAAGATATTTAGAAAATATTCAAATTATTAGCTAAATATTCTTATTACACAATAAGAATAAAGAGGGAAAAAATGATATATCGCTTATAGAAGAGATATAAGAAAAAACTGCAACTAAGCCAGTTTGTTGGTAAATCCTTTCAATTTATATTTAGCGTTGACTATAAATAAATATTTATACTCTGTTCAAACATTGTTAAAAAAGTTTTCCAATTCAACAGTGACGAACTAGTAGTGACACCTGAAATAATCAGATATTCAACGCGATTTATAGCTATTCATATATTTAATACTAGAATAGTAATATAAATATTTCTATTGATTTATATATAAATAGCATAAGTACTTCTATATACGAATGCAATATATGAATAGCATTTGTTCCTTCAGTTTACAACCTATTCCCTTAATTCATCTTTCCTTGTCAAATTTAACCATATATGTTACAGCATAGGAGTAACAAAGAGCATATAATAACTATATAATAGTAGATAGACTGCGGATTATTAAGTTCTCTTTGTATTAATTATAATTATTTACTGAAAAAGGTAATACATATCTTTAAAGCTTTCACAAAATATAAATTAACTTTTCTCGTTAGCTGAATTGTTCATAGGATATCTTAGGCCGTCAAAGCAGCAACCACAGCTGATAGAATTAGCGAAACATTAATAAATATTGCCGCAGCTCCCGCGTCACCATCGTTAAAGAAGATGTTACATTTATCTCCAACACAACATTTTTCACAAACCGTTGTACCATCCGATGTTTTCTGACAGTGTTCCTCCTTTGTTGAACTACTACATGTCACGTTTTTACATTCTCTTGTAAATGTTGTTACACCTTCCTTTTCTAATCTGGCAACCCAACAGGCACCTCCTTTCCCGCATTCTTTTAATTTGATTGTATCAGTTTCATTGACAAAATTGGATTGTTCCTTTCCACAGTTTGCTTCATTTCCAGAACAAGTAAGACATTGGACTGTTCAAAATTCATGAGAAAAACCAGTCATATGAAGAATAATGGGATTGAATATGTATATATACTTACTTGCACATTGTCTGTCATTATCGTGAAGATGATACGCGCTTGAGCATTTATCACATTTAAAGCCATGAACACAAACTCCACAATTGGTTACTTGATTGGAACTGCACGAAATACATTCAGTTTTATTTTCAGATAAAGTGTAGCCGGATTGACATTTGAAGCAACTTGCTTTTCCAGCAGTGTCCGCTTGTGGAGAACAATCCATGCAATTAGCGAAAGCAGATGTTGAACAATCTAATAAAACCAAAATACATTGTACCTCATTTAAGTGGTTGATGACTTTTTAAGATAATAAATAATTTATAACCTTCGCAAGCTCCTGCTATAATTGAAAATCCTTTTTTACATTTGGTACATACTGATTTATCGGATGAGGTTGCTGAGCAAACATCGCAATTAGGGGGACAAAAAGTGCACTGCTTAAAGGAATCGCCGAACAAAGCATAGTACTGTCTGCATTTCGTACAAGATATTGAACCTCTATCGATTGCACAATTTGGACAATTCTTTGGACATTCGCTACATTGTTCTGAGCTCTTTCTGTATCCTTGCATACAATTTGAGCATACAAGAACCCCTTTATCGTCTACATCTTTACATTCTGAGCATTGATTTGGACAAGAGTAACATTTTCTATCGGATGTTTTTCTGCCATAATTACTATCACAACTGTTAACGTCACATCCAATGACGTCATTTTCGTACGAACATTTGTTACAGTTATCAGGACAAGCTGAAATATTCATTGAAAAATTATATTCAGTAATAATTCATTCTGTTTTTTTTTCTTCAAATTTTTACCTTCACATTTTGCAGTATTAGAATTCAAAACAAATCTTCCTTTACATTTTGTACAAAGTGTACCAGTTTTATCATCGTTCAATTTACAAGTTACGCAATTTCCTTCGCAAGCTGTAAACATCATTTTTCAAAATTATAAAAAATATACTGTTACTTATGGATTATTTGACTTACGTAGACATTTTCCATCAGCAGTTGATGATGCGTAACCAGCAATACATGTTGCGCATGTTGTTACTCCTTTAGAATCAATGTTACAAGATGAACAAGGACTGTTACACGAAACACATTTGTTTCCAGATGTAAACAGTTTGTGTGTGCTCTTACATTCCTTACATTTTGTTTCTTTTGCAACATCATCCCAATCGCAATTTACGCAATTACTCGGGCAAGATATACAATTCCTACTACTGTCGAAAGTGAAACCAGAAGAACATTTAGAACATCCTTGACTTCCGTCATTTTTCAAATAACATCTCATACAAGAATCATCGCATTTTACACATGTTCCATCGTCAGATTTTGTGATATATCCATCAATGCAACCAGTTGGAAGGCAATATGTTTGTCCGTTTTTGAAATAACACTTGTCACAGTTTGATGGACAAGCATTACAATCAAAATCTGACCAATCAAGAGCATATCCTGATGTGCATTCTACACATTTCTTTACTGCTGCATTATCTTGAACACATTTATCACAATTACCTGGGCATTGTGTACATTCGTAACTACTGTCAGTTAAACCATAGCTACTGGCGCAATGGAATTGTAAGCATAGAGTTTCTGTATCACTTTTAGCTCGGCATTTTCCACAATTATCAGGGCATTTTAGGCAAGTCTTTTTGGTGGTAAGTTGAAGAACATGAGTGTTTTCATCACATTTTGTGCATTTGTCTACAACGTCGCCTTCTTTAATTGTACAAGAAAGACATCCATCTCCGCAAGAAACGCATGTTTTTTTATCAACACTTGGAGCGTATCCCGACTTGCAAACTTGACATTCGTTTGCTGTAATGTCGTCGGGTTTTAGTGAACAAGTGTTACAGTTGTCCATGCATCCAACACATGCTGTTCTTGCACTGTTCGTCGAAAATCCACTGTTACATTTGGAACACTCATTTACTTTTGATGCTCCTCCTCGATCAACAAGGGAACAAGTTTCACAATTTGTTTTACAACCAACACAACTCTTTTTATCATCATCTAAGATTTTACCAGTTGGACATGAGGTACATTCGACAAGAGTTGCACCATTATGTTTGCAAGTTAGACATGAAGAAGGACATGGTTCACATTTGTTATCACCTGTATTGAAATTAGCGTCCGATGCACAACCAGAACAGAGTGGTATAAAATCTGGTTTCCATGTACATGTTTTACAGTTATCTTCACATTTTGTGCATGTTGTTTTATCATCAGATATTAAATATCCATCATTGCATGTATCACATTTGGAGCTATCTGATGAGCAGTCTTTGCAGTTAGCCACTTGGCATGTTTTACAAGTTTTACTAGCTGTTATGAAGTTAAATCCAGCATCGCAACCAGTTGATTTACACTTCGTCTTGTCGTTAAGTTCGCAATCATTGCAATTAGCAACTGTGCAAGCTACGCAGTTGCCTGAATCGATAGCTTTTCCTTTATCGCAATCTGTGCAAGTTCCAAGAGTACCGGTAACACATAATTTACAATCAGTTGCCGTGCATGGTTCACATTCTTTACTACCAGCATTATATGCAGTTCCAGCATTGCAACCAGTAGATTTACACTCCGCCTTGTTGGTTAGTACGCAATCATTGCAATTAGCAGCTGTGCAAGCTACGCAGTCGTTTCCATCGATAGCTTTTCCTTTATCGCAATCTGTGCAAGTTCCAAGAGTACCGGTAACACATAATTTACAATCAGTTCCCGTGCATGGTTCACATTCTTTACTACCAGCATTATATGCAGTTCCAGCATTGCAACCAGTAGATTTACACTCCGCCTTGTTGGTTAGTACGCAATCATTGCAATCAGCAGCTGTGCAAGCTACGCAGTTGCCTCCATCAATAGCTTTTCCTTTATCGCAATCTGTGCAAACTGCAAGATCAGCGGTAACACATAATTTACAATCAGTTCCCGTGCATGGTTCACAGATTTCAGT